ATGAGCAAGCATACATAATGCATTCTTATGAAGGGACCGAGCAAAGCAAGGGACAGGGAGTGAGCCCAATCCATATGGATATGTTTTTAAGATTGATATTTACTTAATTGGGCTGTAAACATAGGCCCAATCCATTGCACCAGTTTCCCGGAATGTATTAGAAATATCGCGGGTTAATTGCATGGTTGGTCACTAACATTACAAAAAGCGTTCATGTTTGGTCACTGAAAAAATTTAAATCCATTTGTGGTCACTAACTTTACAAAAAGCGTTCATGTATGGTCACTCTCCGTTAGCTACCGTCCAACGCCGTTAACGGCCTCCGTTAAGTGATGACGTGGCTGACGGATTCGCCTAATCAGCACCTTTTGACCCTAAAATTGACCGCCACGTCATTTAAACCCGCCATGTCAGCTAAACCTAACCAAACCTAACCAAACCTCTACCCAAACTCGAACAGACCCAACCCGCTAACTAAAACCAAACAGAACCAGACCCCAACGATTTTTGGACTAAGAGGGAAGGCTGCGCGATTAGATTAGGGTTTAGAACCCTAATCTAATCCTCCACAACCTGGACAAGGCTTTACAACACCAAGCCTCTACAATCCCCAAGAAGAAGAAGACGGTCCAGAACCCTAAGCCGCCATCAAGAAACGACAACATCAACAACATTACAATTACCGTCGACCTTCGCCGCTCCCCCAAGACAACAAAGGATGTCGCCGTTTCCAAGCCGCCGCCGACAGCAGCGAAGGAACATGATGATGATGCGGCGTCGACCTACGAGCGGAAGTTGGAGATGAGCAAAAGGAAGTTGGAGAAAGGATACGCGGCGCACGAGGAGGCCAGGAACAGGAAGCGCTCCAAGGTAATTGACTTTCACTTGCCTGGACCCACCAACAAGAAGGCGGTTACAAAAGCGGCAACAGCTGGGACGTCCCAAGGTGAAGAAGCAACTGCAACGGCGACACGGGCGGTGGCGAAAACGAAGGCCAAACCGAAGGCGCCGCGGTGGTGGACCCGCCTGAAGAACGAGCGCTACGACGCTCGCATCCGCAGCTTGGTACTAAGAGGGAAGGCTGCGCGATTAGATTAGGGTTTAGTCCAAAAATCGTTGGGGTCTGGTTCTGTTTGGTTTTAGTTAGCGGGTTGGGTCTGTTCGAGTTTGGGTAGAGGTTTGGTTAGGTTTGGTTAGGTTTAGCTGACATGGCGGGTTTAAATGACGTGGCGGTCAATTTTAGGGTCAAAAGGTGCTGATTAGGCGAATCCGTCAGCCACGTCATCACTTAACGGAGGCCGTTAACGGCGTTGGACGGCAGCTAACGGAGAGTGACCATACATGAACGCTTTTTGTAAAGTTAGTGACCACAAATGGATTTAAATTTTTTCAGTGACCAAACATGAACGCTTTTTGTAATGTTAGTGACCAACCATGCAATTAACCCGAAATATCGCAGGCTTGAGAAGTAAAAAATCCGCTGCGGAGCCTCCAATCTAGTTTTATATAATTCGGCAAAAGGACGGGGTGAAAGCTAGTAACAACTAAGGAATAGAAACCTGATATCCTAGTGGTAATTGGTAAAGGTCTTGAAAGCAAATGACGAATTGTAGTCGTCTCTTTTCTTTCACTATTTTTTATTTTTAAATAGAAAGTTTAAAAGTAAAAAATAATTAGAATTTGGCATGGGTCGGTCAAACAGGTTGAATTTCAAGTTTTGGCCCGTTTGTTTTATGCATTGCAAATTTATTAGCATGTTGATGGAAATGGCTTGGAAAAAAGACATATAAGTTGTACCTTTGCAGAAATGTCCTCAAATGTTTGAATGCTTTATGAATCAGGTTCCGTGACTTTTGTGATGGTGTATGTGCTTGACGATTGCTCGATGTTGTAACTACTTAATTTGAGAGTAAATCTTTTGATTTTCCCTATGAGTTGTGATACCAGTTCTGGTGGTTGCAGCATGTTGTCGTTGTTCGCCTGTAAAAGTTGTTCCGCCGTGATGCTAAATACCTTTCGGGGTCGTTTGGATGGAGGATTGTGGGACAGGATTTTGCCACAATTCCTTCCCTTCCCGGATTTCACTACAATCTTGCGTTTGGCAAAGTTAAAAAAGATTAGGGATTTTAATCATGAGGAATTTTAAAAACCTGTCATTGAGGAATTTTAAAATAGCTGGTCCCCCTCAGCTATTTTGAAATCCTGCATTTTTTATATTCTATTTCCAACACTATCCCTCCTCCAATCGACCTCTCCTCTTCCTTCTTTGATCTTATCTACCTCTCTCTCTCTGTCTCTCTCTCTCTCTCTCTCTCTCTCTCTCTCTCTCTCTCTCCCTGTGCAATGAGCATAAAAAATGGAAAACGATGGTACTGTACTTAGGGGATCTTCGTCGACTCCTCTCCTCAGGGGATCTCCGCCGTCCAACTGCCTCACCACCACCACCACCACCTCGTCAAGGACCCCCACTCTCGGAGCTTCTTTCTTCTCTCATCTTCGTAAGAAGGACCGCCATTCTCTGATGCTCGCTTGCGCCGACGAGCGGCTCCGTGAAGGACGGGGGCTCGATTTTGCCCAGATCTGGAAATCGCAACTGGAGATCGATTTTGGCGGTGGTGGAGTATGGGTTTGTGATTTGCGACAAGCTCGATTTGACTGTTTCTGTGTTGTTGGTGTTGACGTCGGAGCGAATTGCAGAAGCGAAGGACGGTGAATGGTGGGTTTTCAACCTCTTCTAAAAACTGGGCTTGCGAATTGGAGGCAGGGTCGTTTGTTTCTGGGTTTCAAAGGGAATAAGGAAATCGTGTCGGAGTTCAGGTAGAAGAATTGCGCCACCCTCCACCCTTTTAATCTCACCGGTGCCGATGATAAGAGCTGGGGAGAAGACACGTTCAGGCTAATTTGGCAAGGATGCCTATCCGTCTGTTGGTTTTTTTACCTTCTGCAGGAAGGAAGGAGGAGGAAGTAGATGAGGGTAGATTGGACTTTGTACAATTGGTGTCCAAATTCTACATATCTAAACAAACAAGTAATTGGTACAAATAACTCGTTTAAAATTTCTGGGTTTTTAAGTGAAGGATTTGGATCAAAATCTCTCATAAATCACTCATGTTAAAATCCTTGATCCAAACAACCCCTTCTTTCTTTTTTAACAAATTGTGTAGTAGTGCTATGAAACAGACCACCCATGAACGCTACGCTTATTATGGCCTGTTCTTACTTCCGGTGGTGAGAAATTGTGAATTGAGAATCATATTCGCCTACCGCACTATGTTTGGCTGGTGGCTGCTTACTGTGCTCTCTAGAGTTATGAAACAGACTACCCATGAACGTTACCCTTAAGAGTCCATAACTTTGCGAAAAACCAAATTTAGGCAATCAAAGGTGGTGGATGTGTGATGATTTTTTATGGCTTAATTGTTTGTGAATTGGATATCTGATCTTTGTATGATTAGAGGGGATGTTTGCTTAATAGAATAACCCATTTTAATTCATGTATATTTTTAACATGAACTTTAGTAACTCAAAACCTTCGAGACACGTATCACCTACTGCATTGTATCATTTTTCCTGGGTGCTTGCTGTGTTGTCAAACTTCTTTGCTGCTGCTGCATTTACACTAACAGGGGAATTAAGAACCCATGAATGTTTCCGTTTGACACAAACAAGAGGACTTACTTCTAAATCGTGCACTAAAGATGATTGGAGGAAACATCTCTCTTTCAGTTGATATGCTGGAGACCTTAACAAAAGCAACGTATAACATAAAAACCAACCATCTGAACTATTAGCATTGTTGCTTTACTCTTTTTTCGTGGTTGAGTCTCCTTCAAAAAATTTAGTTTGATTTTAGAAAATTTTGCTTTTGCAGTCCTGTCTTGCCACCAACGCGTTCAGTAGATGGAGATGGCAGAGGAGAAGGCTATTTTTGTGTTGTTGTTGCTGGTTTAGGGATCGGTTTGTGAAGAAGAGGGAGAAGAGAGGGGGAAAGGGAAATGCAGGAGAGGGGGATAACTCTTTTCTCTGACAAAAATGGAGTGAAGAAAGGAATTATGATCAATAAGGATATGGTTATCTTACATAACGGTCTCTATTCTGTTTGAATTGAGCTTGGGAGGCAGTGATAAGGACGAGCTGCAACCAATTCATAGTGATAAGAGTGCTATGAACTGTGATCATGTCTTATTTCAAGTTAGAAGGTAGTTTAAGTATAAGGATTATTTAATTTGACAAGTTGTTTCGTCCATGATTCTTGGTAGTTTTAGTGCCATTCTAGCCATTGTTTAGTCTCTAATTTTTGAGAATTGATGTGCGAGTAATGACTTTCACTTATGGGCCGTTTAGTTGTCATTCCATTTCTATTTGCTGTCACAACAGAAAATAAAATTAAAATGAAAACGAAGTTGTTGTTTTCTGAGAAACAAAACCTGAAAAAACCTTGTTTAGCTGAGAATTTTTGTGAGTTCTAAAACTGAATTCTGAAAACGAAAATCTGTTTAGTTACTTCATATTGTTTTCTGGTTATTGATTATCACAATTTTGTTCATTAAGATCATACAATCCTAGTCATCACACAACTTATTTGATATTCTATCCCGTCGTACATCCATTGCTCGAGTTGGCTTGAAATATGATTGTTTTCGTCATCATTATAAGCCATTTCTTATCACACTACAATTCAGTACGAGATAAAAGATCACGAACAAGCAAAACATCAAACTCAACAAAAGACTACAATAAATTCTACAAACAAAACATCAAAAGAAAAGCACAAAGATGGAATGGAAAAGCAAAATCCTCCACCGCTGATCACTCTCCAACTCTGCTCTCCCATGATCATCAATTCCAAACCTAAACAGTCCAATCCCAAACTGATAACTCTCTTCACTAGAAGTTCCTTAACGAATCTTGACTGGGTTTTAGCTAAAATTCAATCCAGCTAGACCAAAAAGGCGCAATCAATAATAGCAAATTTGGATGTCAAACAAGAAAAATAGCCACCCATCCATTCCCCTATTCCAGTTCCCAAGCCACCAACTGCTGCCACTCCTTCTCCTTCCCCATCACCCTTCGTCAAGTCAATCAAAGGTAGTCAACGGAAAGCTGAACACTTCACTCTCCATTCTCTTTAGTATCATTTTAATTCCAGTCAATAGTAATGTTTGATAAAAACATCCACCCCCTGTTTCTGCAGATTGCGCCCCACTGTGCACGGGGAGGTGCAAGCTGCACTCGAGGCCGAATCGGTGCAACAGGGCCTGCGTGAGTTGCTGCTCCAAGTGCAAATGCGTTCCCCCTGGTACCTATGGCAACCGTGAGCAGTGCGGGACTTGCTACACTGGCTTGACCACTAAATTCAACCAGCCCAAGTGCCCTTAGAGAAGAAAACTCTGCGTGTTTCCCCTGTTTCTTTCTACGTATTGTTATGGGTTTAGAAGCTATGAAATGTTGTATCGTCGGAAAGAGTCTTGAGAGAGAGAGAGAGAGACCAGCGGGTTCGGAAAATAAAATGGGGTTGCTAGATAAGTGTAATGTTTGCGGGAGTTTCAAATTCGTTTCTACTATGTGGTTATATATATGATTGCAAAATCAATCCCAAAATGGCGAGAAAGAAAAGATGGTGTGGCGGTTGGCGGCAGAGCGAGATGTAGAAGGAAGTGGGAGGAGAGGCTGGAGGGAGAGGAAGATGATGGCGGCGGGGTGTAGAACGAAGTGGGAGGAGAGGCTGGAGGGAGAAGAAGATGATGGCGGCGGGGTGTCTGGGGGCAGGGAGGTGAGGCCGAAGTAGTCTTCTAGGGTTATGGTGGCAAAAACGGCAGCGCTTAGAAGCTCGGAGGAAAAAGTTGAAAAAAATCATCTGTGGTGAATCGAACTCGGGTCGAGTAAATGAATTAGTGTGTTTTCCGCTGGGAAACGGGGGGATAGCCCGTCCCCTTATTTTTGGAAAACAACTATTAATCGTTTTCTCAAAGCTATCTCATTTGTAACAATTGGTTTTTTTCAGGGAAAATGGAATGGTCAAGTGAACATGTTTTTTGTCATTTGCTTCCTGATTTTCATTTTTTAAACAAAAAACAGAAAATGAAATGGGAAGTGAACAGGGTTAGCTTCAACTATTATGTGTGTATTTATTGGCATGTGATAGAATTCTCTTTTCCTTTTCTTTGAATTCAGTTTCATACTCTAATTGTATCATTTGTACATAGGAAAATCATGCTCGATATGACAACCCTCTTATATGGCGGGTGCAAGGAATGAAGCCATCATTAGAATTCAGACCGACAACGGGGAAGGATGCCCAGGACTAATTCACTTTCCTATTTTCGATGCAGCGGGAACGCTCACTCTAACAAGGTGGTTATCCCCTTTGGTGCTTTCCTGGAACATTTCATTGACCTAAGGCACGATCCTCTTTCTTTTTCTAAAAGGTTGCTGACAGTGATTTTGCCGAATCAAGGCTCAGGGGCAAGAAAGATAGGTTCTTTCGCTTCCAGCTGGCGGATCAATGCCACAGCTTCCCCTCTCGGTTTTCCTAACAAAGGTTTCAGTGGGTACCGCGCTTGCTACAGGAAAGCCCTCTTTGGATTTGCCTAAGATTTTTGGAATTCAGCGTAGAATTTTGTTTTTTTTGTACTCTTTCATAACATAAAGAGTATTAAGAGTGTAGCCAAGTGGATCAAGGCAGTGGATTGTGAATCCACCATGCGCGGGTTCAATTCCCGTCATTCGCCCACAACTCGAGATCAGTAAAAAAAGAGAATTAAGATAGGTCAAAATAAAAATAACATATATATATATATATATAAATATAAAGTCAAATCTAGTAAATTATATTACTTTATTAGATTACTTTACTTAATTATTTTCAAATTATTTCTATTTCAAAGTAAATAGAATATTATACTTATTTTCTTTATAGATCAACGTGCTATCCTGATAGCTGAGCAGTCGGTCGAGTGACTTCGTTCCTCTCCCTGGATGACAAGTTAAAGAAATTGGGAGGACATATGCAATGAGTTCAACAATAAGTATAGTTACAACATCGAGGTAGATGTAACCAAGCGTGACTTAGAAAGCACCAAGCTGCAACCTAACCGAGAGGACCGTCGCACAAGCCACCAGGCGAGGAAAGGTTTCTTTCATATGGGAGGGACTTATGTCACCACAAACAGAGACTAAATCAAGTGTTGGATTCCAGGCTGGTGTTAAAGATTATATATATTTTAGGCTAAGGAATGGGAAACCTTTCTCCGATTCCATGAATCCAATTTTCATTTCATCCGGGAAAAGCCATCTTTTTCTCAACAATGCCTTTGTCATTTGATCCAATAGTGTTCCGTTAGATAGGAACAGATTTGATAAATATTGATAACTCTCGGATAGAGTCTTCGAGCGGAAACATCGATTAGATAATGAATTATTGGTTCTAAGCCATCTCCGGCTAGCATTCTAAGCCCTCGTATGCCAACCACCGGCAGCAGTTTCGTACCAATCCACCTTTAAAGCGCATCTCACTGGATTTAGCCCTACCTATTACATTAGATAAGGCGTCTCCTGTTACAAGCCTTGAAAGAGTATAGGAAGGGCGGAATCTATTTTATTTGGGCCCAATCATTCGTCGAGACAAGAAAGCATTAGTGTCTTCGTTCCATGCCTCATTTCATAGGGAACCTAAAAGTGGCTCTATTTCATTATATTCCATCCATATCCCAATTCCATTGATTTAATATCCCCTTTCCTTTGGTGTCATTGACATAAGAGATGTCGTAATTGTAAACCACGATCGAATCTATGGAAGCATTGGTTTATACATTCCTCTTAGTCTCGACTCTAGGAATAATTTTTTTCGCTATCTTTTTTCGAGAACCGCCTAAAGTTCCAACTAAAAAATAAAACCCTGGTGAAAGACATGAAGATAGAGACAAGAAAACGATCCATAATCTTTACTTCGGCTCATATCCGATCAAAAACTTTATTTCTTAAAAGGATTTAATCCTTTACCTCTTCAATTGGTATTTTTTCACGAAAAGCAAACACCTCCCCTTTGTTTTATCAACTTATCTTATCTTAAACCTCGCCAAGAGCTCCCCGGCGACGACAGAGGAACCAACCCGCCAGCTGTGGCGGGGCGGCTTTTTTCTTTCACAATAAGACCTGGACGATTATCCCTACCCTCGGTAGCTTACGAGTTTACGTCCATCCCCGGTCGGGTCCACATATATATGTTAGACGATCGGACTACAGATTACGTGCTAAACGGATTAATGATACGAAGAAAAAAAAATGAGCGGAAGGGGCACTTAGTTTATAATAAATGTGGCATATATACATATATATTGAATTGCAGATACAGAAATGCTAGAATCATTTGTAAGTAGATCAAATATAGGTTTCCGATAGAAATGAAATGAAAGAGGGTATCCAAGAAAAAAAAATAAGAGAAAAGGCTTTTCTAGGACTCGCTATCTAATGATTTCAAGAGTTCTAGTACCTAGATCTAAATGAAAGAAAAAAATGACACAATATATTAAAGAATAAGATTATGATTTGAATCTTAAAAAGGGGGGATATGGCGAAATTGGTAGACGCTACGGACTTAATTGGATTGAGCCTTAGTATGGAAACTTACTAAGTGATACCTTTCAAATTCAGAGAAACCCTTTTCGCTCCGCTTAGCCCTAACCCCCTCTAGTGGTATTTTATTGATAGGTTCTATAGGAACTGGACGATCCTATTTGGTCAGATACCTAGCGACAAACTCCTATGTTCCTTTCATTACAGTATTTCTGAACAAGTTCCTGGATAACACCCTGCTACCCTCGTCGGATTGTAATACTTTAAAGTACTCTTCGCTGTAGATAACTCTCCCCATCCGCGATTTTTTTTATTTTAAATGAAATCAATTTGAAAAAGACCTAAAGTTAGCGATTTATCAATAGGTAATGTTGCTCCAATACCTAACCATTAGAGTCCCAAGGCAACTCTACAAAAAGGTGGGAAGCTGGACATTCGAGCATTCGAGACGGAGACTCAGTCCACTTCCACTCTGCAGAAGAAGAAGAATCAATCTCAATCGAGTGCCTTCCCGCACCTCCGATATTCCAAGATAGAACGAAAAATTCGGAACCTCGGGGATCATTCCTTTTTTTGCTAATATATGAAATATGGGATTTCAATAAGCGGATTTTGAGGAAATTACAAACCAGACCTTTTATACTTACTTCAACAAAAGAAGCGCGGGCTTCCTCGATAGAAGAACCTTTTTTGTTTTGGTCCCAATTCAACACTAAACAAGTCCGAACTAATTGCCCAAACAACTAAACACAACATTACAAAGTGAACAACGGAAGCGTTGAAGACTACTAGTGATACATGCAAACACACTACTTTGGGTCGACGGACTCCTTATTTGAATATTATAGAAAGTAGAAAGAGCTAATGCTCATTTCCCGGTGGATTGGAATAAGTACAATAAAAGATAAGAAGAAATGCGGCCCCCTCCTACATATTTTAGAACCTCTCCTAGAAAGAAACTCGTAAAACCAACTCCATTGATAATTACGTAGTGCTATCAAACTTTTGACCCAGGGCATATAAATGGTGCGGGTACGGGACCAATCTCTGCAGCGGCACCTCACGAACTTCTTACTGGGTCCATCCTATAGCATTTGCGAGTGTTTGGATGCACGTGTTTTGTTTTCATATTCCTGCGCAGTTAAGAAAAAAATTGTCCCCAAGGAAACCACTTGTGTCTTTCTTGGATATGCTCAGCCTGGGTATAGATGCTATGACGTGAAATCCAAGAGACTTATTGGTCTGAGCAAGATCCGACTTATTTGAAATTAATTGAATGAACAATTCAAAAAAATTCTGCAGTATTCGATCTATTTTGAGTTCTTTACCACGTAAACTTACAATTTTTTGTTATTGAGATTTTTGCGCAATATGGATTAATATTTAAGGATAGATATTACCTCTCTTTTTCCCTTTTTTAAACAAATTGAAATGATTGAGCGGTTTCTCCTTGGTCCAAGCAAAGTGAAGAACTTAAAGACAAAATATTGACCCCTCTTCCCGGTCATAGTGGAGAATAGCTAATAGTTAGGACTCAGTAAAAAAATGGCAAATCCGCTTATGGAAAAGCCTTTCCTGCCTTCATAGCAGAGGGTGTTGATACAGGAGCGACCCTATGAAGAAAAGGGTCCACCCACGAAAGAATTGCCCTCAACCGATATCTAAATTGCTCTTGACTTCGCCCAATGGATTCAATCTGGTCATGGTAAAACTTCATATGGGTTCGATGTACTTTTATCTTCAACGAATAGTGCAGCCTTTAATGCAGGGCGAAGCATATGGTTGCCCGGCTGGTTAAATGCTATTAATGAAAACAGTAATTCATTATTGATATGCAAGTAATTAATATTATACCTCCAGGACCAGAACTTCTTGTTTCAGAGGGCGAAAGCGTTCCCCTTGGTATTTTGGGTTCTTGCGGTTTTTCGAGTTTGTCGGCTTCGTTCGGCGACTCCGAGAAATCTGTGGGGGATTCATTTTGAGTCGAATCCTGCCCCGTAGCCATAAAACTCTAATATTTAACATGCTCGCTACCTTCGCTCGATCCTGGGCTATTAATATCATAATCCCCCAACCCCGAGGGAAAGGTCTTTATCTTTATTTGATTTCATTTTATCAATTTTTAGAATTCGAAGCGATTGTACATACCATACTCATCCCACAATTTGATATGAATTACTCGTGATTCACTCGGTTTCTGGGACATAATCATTATGTAGGAGAGGTGGCCGAGTGGTTCAAGGCGTAGCATTGGAACTGCTATGTAGGCTTTTGTTTACCGAGGGTTCGAATCCCTCTCTTTCCGCATCTTCATCTTCGCCTAATTTATCAATTTTACTGACCGAAATGAACCTAATTCCATAACAACGGATACCTTTATTCCAACAGTTATAGCTTCCCTTCATAGGGATTCCCTATTCCTAATTTCTGTGGTATAGAAAATACTGGAAAGAATGGACAAAGAATGAAAATATCCCCAGGATTTTCTGATCTATGAATGGGCGAAAAATTCCCCGACCCCTTACCTTCGGTATCTTCTTTAGGTTCGAACCCTTGTTATTTTAGTTAGGTTTAGGTTTAAGTCTGACGAGAATAATATTCTACAACTAACAATTCATTTATTTTCAAGCCGGCCCATTTACTATCTATTATTTGATTGACCATTCCTTTATATTGGAATGGGTGAAGAGTCAAGTGTTTTGGCAATTCGTCCCCTGCGGAGGAATCAAGATCATTTTGAATCATAGTTCTAGATTTTTGTTCATCCCTCGTTATAAAGGAAGATGCTACCACACGCTTACTAGCGTAACCAACAGAGTTTACTATATCAATAGGAATATAAAGTACTTGCTTTCCCATTTTAGTTACTACCTGCCATGCCAAAGCGGTATCGGTAACCTTATCCAGCGTGGTCGGTGGTGCTTTCCCTCGGGTTAAACGGTAAAAATAGTCCCGTGCATCCTTTTCCTCACCTGCTAACTTAGCTAAGTCTTTATTTCTTGCCTTATCGTCTGTTGGATATCGATCTATTATCGCTTTCCTATCTCTCTCTTGCGTCTTTGCCAAAACAAATTCAAAATTCTCATGGCCATTTGCTCCTCTCTTGCAACGGCAATATCTTGAATGAGATTGTCAAAGGCACGCCCCATCATCCCATCAACAGTTACCTCTCTCCCGAACTCTTTCATGGTGGCAACCAATCCTTGAGGAGTATAATGAAGCTGACGGGGTTGACGTAGACGTCCTCCAATATACCCACCGCGAAGGTTGGTTTAGGCTAAGATGGAGGAAGTTGTTGAAAGAATTCTTTTAGCCTCTTCTTCGCCTTATTCTGGATCGAAGCAATCAATCGGCAATGAAGCAGCTTCCAATGTCATACCACACTCTCCCCCTCTCCTTTCAGTCGAGCAACTTCGTCCCTCCTTATATAGTTTCCCCACACCCCAGATGAGCAGGAAGAAGACTCTGTCGGATTTCAAGACACAGAGAGAGTATATCTTGAAAAGCGCAAAACTGGAAAGGGCATACCTTGAATACAGATCAAGATTAACTCATGCACGAAAGGAACTGACTTAGGAAAGCTAGCCTTAGCCCAAAATAAAGGAAAGCAGCCGAACATAAGAAAAAAAGATTCTTTTGAGTTGATTTAGTATTTACTATTTGAGGGGCCCTTCTCCCTTCGCCCTTCGGGCTCATATATTCCCTTCCTCTCTTTCTTGTTCTAATTAAAATGCGAGCAACTTCGTTCCTTCGCCCTTCGGGCTCACTACTTCGTTCCTTCGCCCTTTGAATCATTACGAAATGAAATTGGAAAAGCGTTTTCTTGTTCCTGAATGGGGGTTTTCAATTCTTTTAGGTTTGCACTCTACTCCGAGTAAGGATTCGCCCGATTTTTATTTGCACATATAGGGCAAATGCCCCCAATACCTTGGTTCTTCAGTGAATCTTTATTGGTCTTTTTTCTTTGCCGGTGGCCTTCGCTCCCCTCTCCTCTACCGGGGAAGGTTCTAACTCCTTTCCCTTTTGGTCTCGTGGAGAAGGTGCTTTCTTTCGCCTGGAGAGGAATTATATTTTCCGATTACGCATGGTGGATGGACACCTTGATCGTGGAGCTGAATTCGGTTTTTTCGATGTTCTCGTTGAAACACGCGGGCATACTCCTTGCTTCTGGGGACATTGATCCAAAGCTCGAGTACAATCCATGCGCCGTTTTTCTTCTCTACCACGCATTCATTCGCATCGTACTTCAGCAAGTGTTGATAGAACAAAAGAAAGAGAGAAGAACAAGTAGAGCGGTAGAGAGCGGTAAAGAAGCAAAAGCATCCTGCCAGCTCGCGAGCGTAACTTAGGATGGGCTGGCAAGAGAAAAGAACTGGCATAGACCGCTCGTATAGAAGTTCTTCCCTCAGCAGTCAATCTCATAGTAGGATAGATGAATATATAGACTGACTACGGCTACTGGGCCTTGTTTTTCGCTAGCCCACCTGTTGTGTGGCTGGCAGCTGATGAAGCGGACCCAAATCTCCGATTTCCCTTTAGGGGAGTATGCTGTTCTAGGCGCTCAAGGGCTTTAGTTTGTCGAGCTAGAACGAGCCTCAGACAGAGGTCTGTCTACTTTTTCTCAATCTACCAAGAATAGATCACGCCTGCAGGAGAAGGAAAAAAAAAAGATGAATTTCATAAAAGAAGAAAGCTAGCTGTTAGCCTAGGGAAGATGAAAGATATGCTCTTCGATAATCGGGTTCTTGCCTTTCGTTTTGACTCGAGCATTTTATCTCCCTCTCCCTACTTCCAACCATGAAAGCATTCGAGCCGTAGCTCGTTACACAGTCTCCTCCGAGTACAGACACGTTGACTTACAACTTTGAAAGATCAAAGACCTTTACCTTTTCGAAGGGTAGGGGTGACTAAGCCCGCGAATAATATGCACTGAGTACTCGAACATAGTAATAGAGAGGGGTAACGACTAGGGAGTTGGAAGACTTTTGTGCGTCTTCAGCTGTTAAGTGTGTTTGGGACACTTTGAGACTTAGGTCTGCTTCAACGAGCCCCGCTACTTCATGGAGTGAAAGGGGCCTCCAAGTAAAGGCGGCCGAGGGAACCGCCTGCCTAGCAACATCTTTTCTGGGTAAGTTACTGTTCCCTGCTGAGTATTCGCCTTGACTCGTTGCTTAGATCTTGCTTCCTCTTAGGTACTCCTAGAGCTGTGAGACCTGTATAAGGACGTGAAGGAAGGACTCAAGTGCTAAGATGCTTTCAATGTCAGAAGAATCACTCTCGACCAGACAGACCGAGCGGGTATGGTAGGCAGTTTTGATACCATTTTACTACAACTTTACGTTGTAGAAAAACACGGGCTTTCTGACCCCTCAAACGAAATAGTTGATTTGGCGCCCCTTATTCAACCATAAACAATTGAGATTGGACAGGAACGGACTAACTGAAACCTAATGGGTGGGGGACTTTTTTTTAGGTTTGTAAATCAGTAAATTTATTGAAGCGTCTGCAAGCACTCTGGGCAAGAATTGGACCTGTGGATTTCTTATAGTAAAAAAAAAAGGGGGACGTGCTATATCCGAAACGTACGAAATATAGTAAATATCGTGAAGGCAGATGTAGTAGGAGTTGCAAAACGGACGGTACCCTACCGATGCATTTTTACATCCCACAGCTTCGGCAGATCGCTTAGCCCCGTTCATCTTCGGCGCAAGAGCGCTCGATCAGTGAGCTATTACGCACTCTTTCAAGGGTGGCTGCTTCTAGGCAAACCTCCTGGCTGTCTCTGCACCCCTACGTCCTTTATCACTGAGCCCCTAAAATGGATGAAACACCAGATAGATGAAGACTAGAAATTGTTGAATCAAGAAAAAGAAAAAACGTGAACAGTGATTGGACTTTTCGGAAATATATTAGCGGATGAATTAGTAGTTGTTGTTCTTGTTTCTTTAGTACCTTCGGTGGTTCCTATACCTGTCATGTTCCTTGGATTATTTACAAGCGGTATTCAAGCTAAGGCTGGGTGGGAAGGGGGCTGCTACAGGCAATTCTCTAGTAGATCTTGCATGCATTCCGGTTGAGAAAGCCTTACTTCAAGCTAAGACGCGCTAAGTATATGCAGCAGACGGAGACTGGTTGGCGGCCAAGAATGACAGGGAGGATGTCGAACTTATGGAAAGAATTTTTTTTCCATTTTCTAATTTTTTTTTTCGAGTTCTTTAAAGAAAACTTCAAAAAGTGAAAGGTGTTTTTGGGGAGAACCAAAGGGGAGTTCGTTCCTCTCCTTTCAGTCGAGCTACTTCGTTCCTCTCCTTTCAGTCGAGCTACTTCGTTCCTCAACCTAGGATAGATCAATTGACTGTGTAAGCTCTCTGTTGGTGCAACCATGCAAGATACTAAGTATATAGCAGGGCGAGGATTAGGAGGGAAAGCCAAGTGAAGTGACCAGAGGGTTAGGGTGCGGTGCCAATTCTCCAGAGTGGTGTGAGGCAGTGAGCTAGCTTTCGTCCCGGGAGGATTAGAACGGAATAATTTTTCTTACTTCCATAGAAGCCATATTCCACCTTAAAATCCCTCAGCCTCCACTCTAAAGCTCTGTCCCGAATTCAAGTTGATTATGTTTCGCCCCTTCCTCGGAGAAAGACGATCAAACAATTCCCAATCATGGTCCTTGCAGATCGGATCATCCATATAATATACAAAAAGAAACTCCAGATATTTGATATCTTTCTCTTTGAATGAGATCTCAATTCCAGCGACGGTTTCATTAGATATCTTACAACTAGAATCCCTCTTTTTCCGATCCAGTTCCTCCACCACCGCGAACCCCAGTTAGATTCAGACATGATACACTTTTTAGTTCTTGGGAGAACCCAAGTACCCCGAATCATTTTACCTTGAACG